CCGCGTAGGCTAGTAGGCCCCCAAAGGCCACATTAGTAGTATTGTCTAGACTATGTTTCAATGCTAAACCCTAAACTAGTAAGTGAAAAAAGGGCAGCGCTACCGCGTAGGCCCCCGAGGGGCAACAAAATATTGTCTAGACTATGTTTCAATGCTAAACCCTAAACTAGTAAGTGAAAAAAGGGCAGCGCTACCGCGTAGGCCCCCAAAGGCCACATTAGTAGTATTGTCTAGACTATGTTTCAATGCTAAACCCTAAACTAGTAAGTGAAAAAAGGGCAGCGCTACCGCGTAGGCCCCCGAGGGGCAACATAATATTGTCTAGACTATGTTTTAATGCAAAACCCTAAACTAGTCACTAGTAAGTGAAAAAAGGGCAGCGCTACTGCGTAGGCACCAAAGGGCCACAAAAGAATCGGCAATTTTGTCTACTATGTTATGTGTCAGTGCTAAACTAGGTTAAAAAAGGGCAGTGCTACCGCGTAGGCCCCGAAGGGCCACACAGTATCAGAAACAGGGCAATTTTGTATATTAATAAATTACTCATATATATTATGTTTCAATGCTAAACCCTAAACTAGTCAGTGAAAAAAGGGCAGCGCTACCGCGTAGGCCCCGAAGGGCCCCAAAAGAAACAGGATAGTGTATGTTACAATCCTATTCAAACCCTACTAAACTAGTTAGTCAGTGAACAAATGGCAGCACTAGGCATTTGTTTTTTCTGCCCGGGGCTCACTGTAAATGTAACTGTAGCTGAAAACTTACTTAAGTACAGTAAGTAACTATTATTTCAGTAGGGAAGTTTCTATTTATTATGGTGTGTGCAGTAACACAGCAGTTAAATTAAAGTTAAAGACTCTTGAAAGGACCAAGGATGTAAGAATTAAGTTCCAGGATACCAGCAACACAAAGTTAGTAAAGATAACAACATTACTTTGAGTGTAGGCCAAACAAGATTTATTTAATCTAGTTAATAATCAAACAAATAGTTTCAAAAGTGTATATTAAATATATTAATCAAGTTCGATCAAATCCAATTAATACCCAGCTTGTTACATTTACTAAAGTGCTAGATTAAACTTAATTTTGAATAATTGAAATAGCAATGATCATTCAATTTGCATTGCATCACTTAATTAAATTGAACTCTCAATGCAGAACCCTGGACACTAAGACACGTTGCGTATCCCCTTTTGATTACTTTGACAAAGTGGATGTATTTATTGTTTTTTTGGGAAGTAAATGCGCACATGTATGTGTTTGTTCTGTTGGCAGTTGGGTTTTGCCCCTTAGCTTGAGACCTGTACTGTAAGTCAGCCAGAGAGCAAGAGAGTGTAGTAATAGTAGTAATGAGCCCCCCTCCCTTCCCGCCTGAGACCTGTAGGTTGGCTGAAAGAGATTTTGACAAAAGCCCTCAACAAACCAAAACCCCCACACTTCACACTCACTACTAAATTAAACCCGGTGAACTCCCTCATCCCTGAACCCTGAAACCTCTTAACCCCTTTTGAAACCCTAAATCTCTCAGGGACCCTGTACCTTTAATATTTAAACGTTATGTTTGCAACCTGCAGTAACAGACATAAGACATACTATTCAATTTCGACATTATTTAGTAAACTCATGAGAGTGGTGGTAATTTTTTGTTGTCCCTTGCTTTCTAATAATATATTTTTTTAAAGTTGGCTTGACACTATGTTTGTCTAGCTGAATAGCACAATGAACATTGCTGTTCACCTTCTTGAGACATACCTGGAAACTCCAATAATAAATACCCTTTTATTTTTGCCCTTAAAAAGGCGACTTTGCTGGGTCAAAGGCGCCTTTTTGGGCCTGCGGGCGTTTTTTGATGTATGCTGGCAAATTTGCCTCGCATGGTTTTAACGATATTTTTTACTTTCGGAGCCGGCGTGATTACCCACAATTCCCGCGTAATTGCCCGCAAATCCGGTGTAATTGCCCCTAATTCCGGCGTAAATTTTCATAGGTCAGCTTTGACAAGTTTAAGTTTGAAGAAATGAAGCAGGTATGTCCGGCGGTTATTTTTGGCATTCCGCTGGCGTTTTTGGAGCAATCCGGCGATTCAATTTTACCAGCTTCCAGCGTAAATATCAAGCCAAACTTGTCCTCCGGCATGTTTTTTTGCCAAAAGAGTTTCTAGGTATGTTTTGTCTTATTATAATAAATTATTATTCTTGTTTGCAGACTCAAAGCTGAAGCACACAAATAATTGCATGCATATGTGTATCTTGGAGACAAGCGAATCGATTATAAACAAGATTGTGATTGATTGATACGTGTAACATTGTACTTACCAAAGCCATCCGCACATTGACCCAGTCAGCCATGGCAGTACGACAGCGCTCAAGGAGCAGATGTGCATGGACCACAGATGGCAGGCAGTGTGCACACAGTGACAACAAGATCAATCAATTGTTCGATCAGTGGAGTGCTGCCACTGATTTGAGCAGTCCTGAGATTTGTGCTTGGGATACGTTTCCAACTATTCATGATTCGAAAAGGATATGTGCCAAACACTTGGCATGGCTGAACGATCAGATCAAAAAGTTCTTGCTCTATGATGCACTGTATTTTGATTCACAATGTGCAAAGTCGTGGAAACCTATGCTTCAGCTAACGTTTCCTTGGATGGAATGGATGCAAATTCATGACATGTTGTTCGCTCTAGTTTGCCGAACCTTGCACAACCGGCATATGGGAACTTGTTCCCTTGATTACATCGAGTATTTCTCAGGTCAAGCTGAACTGTCCAAATCGGGGATTAGATTTGGTCTTGAAGGCAGAAGCTTTGACTACATTTACACCTCAGAACATGATGCGTTGTCAAGACGCGGCTTGCGGCTTTTTTTAGCAGCCTTGGCAGGGACAAAGCCTCTTTCATTGACATGGTTTGGCACTGTGTGTTCGAGTTTCACAGTGTTGTGCCGTGCTCAGAGTTTGCGGCAAGAGTCAAACGGCTACGAAGGTGATACAAATCGTGCATTTGTACAGATTGGAAATGGGCTTGCCGCTGTGAGTGCTTTGCTTTACTTGCTCACTGCCCTCATGGGTAACATTCCAGCACTTGAGCAACCACTGAACTCCTGCATGCCGCTGTACTCAGTGGTGAATGCTGTTTTGACATTCTGCGAGACCTACAGAGTCACAACATACCATGGATCTTTCGGTGCAGAGACAGTGAAGCCACTGCAGATTCTGAGTCCATCGGCCAGGATTCATTCATTGATTCGCTCGAAACCGTCTTTTTTGGCACCTTCTGATGATTCCTCATTGGTCACTCGAGATGATTCTGGATCATTCACAGGGCAAAAACAGCAACTCACACAAAGCCAAGCTTACACCAGAGAATTTGGTGAAGCTGTCATCTCTGCTTTTTTTGGCTGACTCAGTCTGTGTTAGCGAGAAGTCTGAAGTGAAAATTCTGATCCATGCATTATTATCAGTAAAACGGTGCTCACTGATTTTACATTGCTCACTCACTGTCATTCATTGATTGATTGATTCGCTATTACAGCTTTAATTAATACTGGTCAGCTTGGCAATTAATTAATGATTTAATGTGTGTGCTGATCTCCCTTTTTTGTGGAGCGATGCACCATGCATCGATCAAACCTTATGTGCTGAGCGACTCAACAGTCTGTGATGCACCTCAATTTGACGCTGAGCTGTGTCATTAAAACATAGTTGCCAGTGCTCTCATTCTCAGTCAGAGCAAGTTTCTGAATTGTCACTGCCAAGCAATTATTGTTAATTAAATTATATATATTTGGCTTGTGTGTGTGTATTGCAACAAGAAGTGCCTGCCTTGCATCATTTCAAGTGTCAATTTCACTTTCCAACGACGAGCTCAAGTGAAGTTTGCGATGACGTACAGGTCAGTTCACAGAGTCAGTCAACAATTTGCAGGGTCCATAGTAGTTAGACCGACTGACTGGAAATGAATTGACATTGCATTCATTACTGAATCACTGAACAGTTTTAGTTTGACGCTAGGCTATCAGTGATATCAGTTTGACATGATTTGATACACCAGTATCATACATGCCATGTGTTCTGAGGTGGAACTTTAGCTGCTGACTCGCTGTCACTGATGGACTGGAATCAATCAGACATCTCAGATCCAGCACAATGAACAAATCATATGCGGCCACTGCACTTATTAATATAATACTGTTGATTCTTATCAATCTGGGTCAGGCAGGTCTGTCACTGTCATTTGCCAGAAGCTTTGGTATGTATTTCGTGAACTGACAATTCAATGGCACTGTCAAATGTCAAATGTTTTTTTTCTGCTTGCTTTGAATGAATGTGTGGAATTGACTTGGCTCAAAGACTTATTGATTTGAGACGATATGTCTGATCGGCCTTACAGCAACACTGGAAACAACAACTTTTAGAGATTCTGATCTTGAAACAGTTCTGATTACAATATTAACTAATATTTATCACTGAATCTGAACTCGAAACAATGACTACATTTTAAATTGTGAATGCTTCGTTGACAACAACGTCAGTGTCACTGAGATCAGATCAAATTCCTTTCACTGACTCAGCTCTTATTTAGTTGATTGATTATTCATTCGGAATTCAGCTGTGCTCAACTAAGTCAAGCTGTCAGCCAAAATTCAAAAGAAGCCTTCAAGTGATCACCTGTGACTTGATTGCCGGATTGTCTGGCATAATAGTCCGCTATCACTTGTTGTTTTCGTTGCTGAATATTGGCCCTGACTGGCTGTGGCTGCCTGACATTGACTGCCTGCAGCCTGACTCTTAACTTTGACCTGTCAATTATTCAAATGTTTATCATCACAGGATTAAATTCTTATTTTGTTTTGTTTTGATTTGCATTCTATTAATTATTATATTATAGCCTTTGCAGCTGTTACATACATTGTACATCTCGACAACAATGCTATGACTGTGTATGCGGACTGACTGACTGACCTCACATCTCAGGACAGTCAGTGTCAGCAGTCAGTATGGAGGATGACCGGGAAGTGCCTGCGGACGATGCATTCTTAGCCCAAGCTCCAGGAACCCCTGTCCTGCCATTGGTGAACAATCCAGGACTGGCTAACCTCACATTAGACAACGAGGATGGCATTTTTTTGTCCAAGAGTTGCCAGGTATTGACCAATGATGATGGTCAAACAATTGTACTCTGGACTCTCAAGTACTGCTATGACCAATTTGTAAACTTAGGTGAACAGCGCAAACTGAACAAGTGGTGCAAAAGCCTTCGAGATACAGTCATTAATAGTGGCTTGTGGCCTTCTTTCGATTCTGGTGTTGATTTCAGATTGCGAACTGATGCCAGTGACCAAGATTCAATGGCGTCGACAAAGGCACTGTTGTCATTTTTCTTTCTTTATTCCAAGGCATCTGCAACTGGTGGTAGAAATAAGGACATGCAAACGCATGTCATCAAGAGGGTTGAAAAACTTTGCGAACGGGCTGTCAGTGTGGATGTTCAGGATTTCCTGGACTTGGTTGGTGTGAACGAATCATTTTTGGAGATGACGCCGCCTTTGACAGGCCGTATTTCTGTTAGCCGAGGTGGCCGTATCATTGGCCTGTTGGACAAGTTGTCGAATCTTCATTCTACAAGTGCTGATGCTTGGAAGACTGTTTGGAAGTCAATGCATGAAAATGACATTCTTTGGTCTGAACTCGAAGCTGAAGTTTCTCTGAGAGACTTGACAATGTTTGTATTACAGGCAGACAATTTCAAGCGGGCCCATGCTACAAAAACATGGTCCCCACAGCGACCAACTGGACAAGCATTGACAGCAATGGTCCGATCATTGATTGTTTTTTTGTCAAACCGACTTGAAGTGTCTTTGCGCGTTTACCAGCAGACTCATGACACAGCCCGAGCTGCGCCGGCAAGACATTTCAGAAGGCAAGATGGCACAAAACGGACCAGCATGTCATTGGATGCAATTTGGGAGACATTGAATGCTGATGATAGTGGTGTCTCAGCTAGAGACTCTCTGAAAGTTCAAAAGAATCCCAGGCTGTCAAACAGTGGTGGTTCGTCAGAGAGCAGCATCGACTTCTGGATCCGTAAGGTCGCCCAAATGCATGATGATCAAGTGAATCTGAGTTTGGTTGGTGCATATCACTTCAACATGGTCAGCGATGCTTCAACACATGCTGGTGGCAAGAATATTCTGGTCTCGTTGCTTTGGACGCACGAAAATGCGACTGCATTGTTTGCCAATTTGCAAATGACCTTGCCTGGCAAAGAAATTGCCCCAGATGAATGGAATTTGGAATCGTTAGTCGAGGCCCTGGCCAAGGAGAGGTTGACTCAAGAGAATGAATTCTAAATCAATAGTTACTACTTATCATCACTAATTGTTGAGCTGACCTTGAAAATTTTTATTTTACAATGCCAGTGGCCAGCCATTTGACGACCCATGCCAGGAGCGCAGGCTTGTGAGACTATCTTCTCTTCGTCAGCTACAAGCAATTTCGCACCAGTTGAACCTGGCAACAAAGGGCCGGGTTCCAAGCCTGGATTTTTTCAAACCTCCTGAAGGACTCATCCTCCGACAGATTCAGCCCAATGAAGAAAGGGTTGTCTTTATGTCAAATGAGGGCCGCAAGCTGCAAGCAGGTTTTGAGCAAAAGCAACAGTTCCTCATGGTTGGTGATTCTGAGGAGGCTCAGGTCCCTGAACCGCAAGTGCAAATGTGCATTCCTGGCTCAGCGAACTGGTGGTCCACTGTCCCAATGTTGGTGTTGCAAATGGATCAAGGGAGCCCAGGCTGTGCAGGAAGTGCGTGACCTGGACTTGAATTTGCTCAGTGGCACTTGATTAAAGTTTTTTTTGGTAAACCTTGTCATTATTATCTTTGCGCCTCGACAGTGCCATGACCCCTTTTTCATTAAAATGAATAATTCTCCGGATTCATTGTGATATGATTCATTTATTATGAATTGTGAATGTGTGAGATGATTGTCCATCAGTGTGTCATGATTCTCCAAGATGGGTGATTGAGGTTTGCCATTCACAAATTGGGGCGTTTGATTCATGTCCGGTGGGACATTTTTCACAGGGCAGTCAATGATGTCAAGGGCGCTCTGGCAGATTCAGGAAGCCTTTTTTTGTCCGCTCAAATGCATTCGACGTATTTGTGGGCTCTTCAATACCGTCCTTTTGGAAGTGGAGGTTTCATGGAGGAAAAGAAACGGATGATGGATCATTTTATGGCTTTGCAAACCGAAGACTACGGACCGTTTATCGAACAGCTGCAGCTCTTCAAATTGGACTTGGGACTTCCTGAGCACACATCGCCGCAAGAGGTTTTTGCCGCAATCTGCGAGCTTCCAGGTTTTAACACAAAAGGAACGCTTCCAAAATTGTCACGGTGGTTTTCATGGAATCAAAGTTGTGAAGAACAGGTCCCTGAATTCAGAGTGTTGAGGATGGTACTGAAACACTGGCTGGGCCCTGCGGCAGACAAACTTGACCCCAATGATGCTGTTTACAATCGAGAGTTGAAGATTGGAGTCAAAGCGACACAGAAGTCGGCTGGTACAAAAGAAAATTTGAGGTCTGAGTTCAGCCGATTGAAGCAAAACCTTGGCGGTGGATTGAAGTTGGCATACTATCTCATGAGTGACCGGCTGCTCCACACTGTGCGACTCATTGCTGCAGCAACCAGGCCAACTTGGACTTGGTATGCGGACACAGTCAAGTCAGTGAAATCTGCTGAAGACAGTGAAGCAAACCACAGAACTTCAGAAGTCATGGGCGTCAGACAATCACTTGGTTCAAACTGCGGCAGTGCTGACAGCGCGCAGCCCAGAAGTTGTCAGTTTATTTGAAGACCCAGAACTTTCGAGATTCAAAGACTCAGGTGACAAATTGTTCAAGCTTGTCTCCAACTTGTTGAAGCGCCGGGCCTGGTCATTTGCCAAGCAGTATACTGCCCCTCCGGACTGTTATTCTGCAATCTTGGGTGGCTCAGTCGCCGAAGCTCAGGCCAGCCATGCTTGTGTCACAGTCATCATTGATATCAAATCAGTTAATTATTAATGACAAACTGATGCTGAATCACAGTCACAGTCATTTAGCCAAAGACTAATGAATGCAACTGTTTTTTTTCATCACCACTAAGTTCGGAGTTCATTTCACAGGAAGCGGTGGCAATGCTACACCAAGACTTTGAATGGCTACTTCGCTTGGAAGCAGAAGCAGCTTTGATGGCGCAAAGGAAGGTTAAGGTCGAGTTGCTTGAGGACTTGTCAATTTTGATTAGTCCATGCATCCGCTTACTTTTCTTGGCGTTCGAGGAGAATTCATTTCACAGAAATTCCCCAGGAGGCTTGCATGTGCTGAAAGGGCTTTTGAAGGTCCTACCTGATTCCAAAATTGTAGAGGACGCACATGGAGTTTTGAGGCTGGCAAACAAAAAGTTCAAAAACAGGCGGATGACATACAGTATGATGCAACACACACTGACACGCAGCAACGTCTTTGACTCACGCAATATTGACAACAAAGCCAAAGTCACCAAGGATTCGTTTATGCGGGATTATCGCGCAGCTTCCGGCAACACCAGGAAAAAGTGACTGGTCTTAAAATTGCAATGTTTATTTTAATTAAGATTGATTGGACTCACAGCCACAGTTGTTTTTATAAATCGCATTTTGTCCTTTTCAAGCCAGACAGATATTAATTAATAAATAGATAATTAATTATATAATTTGAATAATTTGGCATCACTTCAAGGCGATACCTTGCCTCGGTTCACAAGCTGCCTGAAGAATGGGGCGGCATCTTGAAGAGAAAGACTTGGCGAACAGTCAATGATGGCATGATTCAAAAGGGTGCTGCTGCGTGGCAATTTTTCAGGTACTACTTCAAAAACAGATTGGCTCACAATCAGGTCAGGCTGGCCTATGGAAAGTTTGGTCAAATGGCCATTTCCATGACAATCTTGCGGAACACATCCACTGGATTTTTGGGACTTTGCTTGGGGAATCAAGTTTGGGCTGCACTGCTGTGGCCATTGAGACAGGTTCATGGCCCATGTCGTCCGGACAGGGTCTACTTCTGTTTGGACGCAGACGATGACACTGCAGCTGCTGAGTTTCATTTTTTTGAACAGCCGGAGTCCTGGGAAGTGGTCATGAATTACGAGTTACTATTTCATGACTCACAAGTCATCCTGGATTGCCCGTTGCACGAGTCAGAGTCGCTACTCAAGTTTTTTTGCGTGAACCGTCTCGAATCAAACAACTTTCCCGGACTGATTTGGAGACGATCAGTGAAAAGTTTTTCATGCCTCCGTGTCATGGCGACCGTGATCAACTTCGACAGTTACCACAGAAAGATTTGTTGGCAAGTGTCATTGACTTCGCCTCAAATGGTGATGCCGATTACATTGAGCAAGTGCATGAGTCACTGAAGCAGAATAAATCATCTGCCGCTGCGAAGGCCCAGGATGACGAGAATGAGTTTGGTGGAGCATTGGACGAACTGGTGTTGCTGGACCTCCCAGCTGAAGAGCGTCGAGATTTCGATGAGGTGGCAAAAGCCATTGAGAAAAAGGTCAAAGCTGACTGGAACTTGATGATTGTTGCAAAGGAGGCCAAGGGGAAAGCGAAAGCAAAGGCAAAAGCCAAGTCAAAAGCCAAAGCCAAGGCAAAGGCCAAGGCAAAATCCATGGCAAAACCTGTCCGGCAAGCTGCCAGAGGAGTCTTCAATTCCCGAAAACGAAGGCGGCAAGCCATTGCTCCAATCGAAGATGCTACTAACTGTGATTTGTAAACTGTTAGTTTTTGTTTAGTAGGCGTCTTAAGTCTTACTGATGACATTTTTTGATTCACTTAGTTTAAATTAAATAGACTTATTTTTTTACAATCAACTTAACTAGTAAGTTAAGAAAGTATTGATTCATTGATTGTCACTTTAATCTCAACCGCTGAGGCGGCCAGAGTCAAAGAGCCTGAACCTACTATTGGTGGCGATGAGCGAGTGCATGGGCATGATGATGCTGCTGCTAGTGGTGATGCCAATGACCATCGCCGTCCAGAGGACAAGTCTGCTGATGATTTTGAAGTGCCCCCGGATGACACTGCCATGGACGCAGGTCTGCAGACGCTTCCGCCGTCACCAGTGCCAGTGCCAAATTTGCGAGAGTGGAAGTGGAGAAGCCCAGCCAAGAAACAAGCTACTCTTGCTGCGTCATCATCATCATCATGCTCTCGTCCTACTGAGCCAATTGAAGAAGTGCACACTGACACAGTCATTGTCGCAATCGAATCGGAAACTGATTCAGTTCCAGCAGAAGCTGTTGAAAACCCGATGGTACCTGCATCTGAGCTTGCCAATCCAGTGCCACTCCAGCCTGCAGTACCTGATTTGGAACCTCCTGCTGAAGTCGCTGCAGCAGCGGCGGGCGTGGATCTTGTAGTGCCCAAGGCCAAGGTTTCCAGTCCAGTAATTATTTACGTTTTCCTTGCTGGTGTGCTCGCCTATATTATATTAATATGTTTTATTGATTTTTGTTATTTTTGATAAGTATATATGGCTAGTTTCGGAATTAACAATTTCAATGTATTCAGGGACCGGCCTGGCAAACTTTTCAATCAAACAATGATGCAGCTTAAAAATTATTCCCCAGGCCATTTTCAATTCAGATTTGAGTCAGTCAGTCAGTGCCATGATGATAATGTGAATGGTTGATTTCAATTTGGATCAATTGCCATTGTTGGACTCGGATTGAATTGACCCTTCACTGAGTTAACTGAGTCGTTTGTCAGGCAGCGCCCAAGGCTGCAGCAGAACGACCTTGGCCTTGCCATACGCGAAATTCCATCAACCAATGGACTGACGTCCCGTGTCGTCGGTGTAATGTTGCCATTGCAGGCCAGATCAAATTTGACGAACGGCCAGGACAGCGGGATAAGCCCACCTGGTTCATGAGAGTTCGCGATGATGACAATTCATTGAATCAATCCAGTGGCCCGTACTTCTCGCGAAGACTTGCTCATATTGTTGGGGACACTGACACCTTTGCCATGGACTGGATTGAGCAGTATAAAAAATGCTGTGGAAGCAAACGGACCCGTCTTTGAAAGTCATGCTTTGCTCCAGTCGTCACTGCCGGCAGGGGCAATGGGTTTCAAATCACTCAATTTGATTAACTCATCAGTTTTGAAATTGAGCTGTTCAGTATTGATTCTTTGTTGAAACTCAGAAATTGGTTCTGTTCCTTTTTACGTTGGGTTTTTATTTAGCCTTGCTTTGCTTCAACAACCATTGCCCAATTGCCGCTTTTGAATACTTTGTTATGTCTGCCCTGGTGCCATGGGCTGACTCACTTAGCCTCACCAAGTCAGAGCTGAGGGCACGCCAAATGACTGGCAGTCACTGAAGCAGGCATAACAGATCAGATCATGTGACAAAACTCTGCGATTCATTCATGACTACAAATATCAATCACTCTTATATGATGTTGTATGTTCATTTCAGAGAGGGGCAAATCGAATCTATCTCATCTCGCTGTGACTGAGTGACTGTGATGCAAATCAGTTGCATTCATTGGAAGGATATAATAATAGAACCAATGAATGACCATCATCACACATGCACAAGAACAGACATTCTGTGATATTACGTCAGATCATCATAGCTCGTATGTGGTTGTCCACTTGACTGCCCACTTGCAAGTGTGACAGTCACAGCCTCAGATTCTATTATAATAACAATGACTCATGTTAATTATAGGTGCAGCTGTCATGATTCCATTTATGAGTCATATCGCTACATTTAAAATTTAAATCTTTTGTTCATTCAGTTTCAGTCAGTCAGTGGATGCTTAATTCAGTGGTGTCAAGGGCGCTGATACACTGCCTGTCAGTCAGTCAATTAAGTCATGTGCCACTTTGTGCACTGATGTTCCGCCTTGTGTACTGATGTGCCGCCTGTGTGCTCTGACTGATGTTCTGTTCAGCCGTGTGAACTGATGTGCCGCCTGTGTGCTCTGATGTTCCACTGTCTGCACTGAACTGATGCGCCACCTTGTGCACTGACGTTCCAATCATGTTTTGATTTGCAGTGGTGACCTGGTGTGCAGCCAACCTGTGTGCACGCATTCATTTAATGTTGTCAATTGATGCTGATTTCGCGATCCCTTGAACTTGCCAAACTCCACAACAGTATTGCCCCACATCTCCAAGCTCGTGATTCCCGGTGGGAAGGAATTTTCTGAGCCACGCGGAGGTGTCACTGGCAGACTTGTGACATGTGATGGCACGGGGAGCTGACTTCGGTCGGCGCTTGCTAGCATCGGTCATAGAGGTGGGTGTCACTGTCACACATTGAAAATCACTCTGAGCATCGCTCAGACAGAGTACCGTGCCATTGAACTGACTGGAAGATTCTTCCAGTTCAATTTATGGCACGGTACACGCTGCTCACCTCGGCCGTATACTAAGCACTGACTGATGAATGACAATTTGGTTTGACTCGACTAAGTTGTTGCATTAAACGGATCACTGCTGTGACTGTGATTTTTATTGACTGATTCATTACTTTCACCTGTGACACTGTGACAGCTGACAGTCAGTCATGTTTGGCGGATTATTCTCTCTCTATAGTAGAGTATTTTCAACGGTTTATTGTTTCAGTCCAACATATAGATAATAATTTCTACTCCATCAATCATTTTGAACGGAATGGCTAAATAGCGGGTGACTCAGATTGATTCATTAATTGATTGATTGATTGATTGATTGTGAGCTGGACTCTCATGTCTCACAGGTCACACCGGATTTCTGACATCCATTGGGCGTCTGTCAGCCAGCTGTGTGCTGATTTGATTCATTCATTGATTGGTGAAGCTGGAAAATGAGCACTGTGGCTTGCAAATCAGGCACATTTCGTTTTGAAGGGCCATAGTCATTTGTTTGGTAAATCATTCAGGTTTGCGTCATGGCTGACAAACTTCAAACTGACAAATGAATCCATTGTCATTGAATCCAGGCCAGTTAGTGTTTGATTGGTTCAACCTTGGGCAAGCACTTGTTCAATCTCAAACAGTAACAGAGTGCACTCTTTCACTAATAGAGCTTTCAACCCTGGCTCAAGTCACAATAATTTAGTAGGTCATTGGACTCATTTGTAGACTGTTTAATGCTTTGCACTTTTGGATTTTTGATTTGATTCATTGGAACAAAATCAAAACATTTTTTCATCAGGTCCTCCAATTGACTCATGATGCGGTGAATTTTATCCTACCTCTGTGAAATCAAGAATCAATTAAATTAATTAATTAAACCGCGGCATCATCATGAATCATCATGTCAATTGAAACGAAGGGACTCTGTCTGACTTACGTCGCAGCAGATGACGGATTTGCCTACGCCAACTGATGCGTACAATGGATGGCCCGACAAAATATCCCAGATGTTGAGATACACTATTTATAGAGCGATCTCTGAAAGTGATGATGCGAAAGGACAGAATGATGCTCAATCACTAGTTGCAGGGGCTTCAAACTCAAGCAGCTCATCATCGACTGTGAGATCTCACGGAGTTACAACTCAGGCATTTCAGATTCAGAAGGCAATGGACGACGTTTTGTTTGAATTAGCATTGATGGATCAAGTGATGCTTTCACTGTCACAGTCACAGTTTGAGTTTGATCCTGTTAAAGCAAATCACTTCTATGCTTGGCATGAGGCCGTCGTAGGAGTGAGAAAGCAATTTGTGTCTGAATTTCAGATGAAGAAGTCAACAGTAACAAGATTCAAGACCTGGAAAGCCTTGTTGCAGGAACTGGAACAAAAAGGGTGGTCAACCGACCAGGACATACAATGTGTGACTCAGATCCACAACGATGTGACGAGTTGGGTTTGGCAAATTAAGTCGAGGGTCGCCAAGCAGGACCTTGCCAAAGCTTATTCAAAGTTGCGTTGCAAGTGCATGCTTTCGATTTCAAAGCTGACTGGTAACAACCTGGTCAGGGTGATCAATAACAGTCCATTTGAAGAAGTTAAGTTTGAAATGCGTGCCATCTTTTGGGAAATTGTTTCAATATGCGACAATTTTTGTGATGACGATGATCCCAACGAAGACGACGACCTGTCGCTTCAGGAAGTGATTCAGTTCATTCAGTGATTCAGGAGCCGAGTCAGTCGAACTAGCTTCACTGGACTTCTGCTTAAATTATTTGATTTGAAACAATGCACTGACCCGCCTCACAGACTGACTCTCTCAAGCCTGAGAGGACATTGTAACATAATTTATGGTTAGAGCTCATTTGGCGAGAACCACATTTGACTCTCTGCGGAGCTTATATGGTAAGGCTTCGGAGAGACGCCGATTTGAAATTTGGTTCTTGTAAGTAGACTCTTGCTGGTTTCACTCACTCAGGTCTCTGTCTCTTGATTTGGCGAAGCTGGTCAATTTTGTTTGGAATTGAACTGAACTTAATTAATTAATTTGATTGAAACAAAATAATCAATCAGAACCAGTGGACCAGGCAATGAAATTGCCTGTTAGTCATGTGCTACCCACCTGGTGCACTCATTGGCCTTGTGCACTGATGTTCCACCTTGTGAACTGATGTGCCAACTGTGTGCTCTGATGTAATTTATTGTTCCACCGTGTGAACTGATGTGCCGCCACTGTGTGCACTGATGTTCAGCCACCTGGGCACTGACAACTGTGTGCTGATTGATGATGATTGGCGAAGCTAGGGAAAAATGACGATTGCTGGGGCTTGCTACTATTGATTCTTGGACATCTCATTTTTGTTTTTGATCACAATGATCATTTATTTGTCTGGTAATTTGATAAGCCAATCAGATTCGATGGCAATAACTTAACTGATTCCGGCTAGTTGCTGTATGTTTTACAGCATGATGGTCCTGAATAATTCATTGTTATTTTCTTCATTCATGTTCCGTTAGGTTAAACTGTTACACCTGCAGGAACTTTTTGCCCAAGATTTAAATTTAGTTAGGCTAAGATTAGTATTCCTTTTGATTGGTCCTCATGACAACTCAGCTGGACGAATCGCAGCTTTCGAGCCAGACCAGTATGGAAGCTGACGAACAGGAAGACCCGACACGACGTCTGCTGCAAACACCAACGAGTGGCAGTGAAGCATACAACCTCCTTCTTCTGCAAGAAGATGTCCGTGACATCTCCCTGGCACAACAGTCACTAGAACAAACTATGGCATCCCTGCAGAGAAGAGAAATGAATGGTATCCTTGTTGACCAGGATATACGCACACTGCGCAGTGCTTGCCTCTGTCTTCGCAGCCTTCGTATGCGTGTGGAAGCCTTTGCGAACTCAATAGAACGAGTAGTGATAGCGCAGCAGCTGCAGTTTATGAAAACAAGAGTAAGAGAGCAACCAACTACTACCGAAGATGACTTCGCGGCTGACACTAGCTGCCCTCCCTGAAGTCATTTGCTCCAGGCTTACTATGCAGAAAAGGCCGTAATGTCGTAGTTACTGGCAGTGCAAGTGTGTGCTGATGTGCCTGTGTGCACTGATGCACCAGATAATCACTGCGTTTGCCTTTGAATGTATCTCATTCATGTTGTCGATTCTTAATTAAAATGATTCATTAGCCTGCTATTTTAAATAATAATAAATAGTAATAAGTCAAGTCATTGTCATTCATTCATTGGTTGATTGATTTCGCGAATCGACAAGATGGACCTGGTCAGTCAGCACTGTGAACACTGAGCTGGCACTGACACTTCGACCACTCACTCACTGACGACGACTCAGGTAAAGTGAAAAAAAATGATCGTCTTGCCGCAGTGTCGTTTGTCAACTTTAACATTGTCAGTGTCCCATTGAATCATTCACAATTGAGTCAATTTTAAAAATGATATTTCTTAAACCCTATGGCATATTTAATAGCTGGTTTAAATTTGTCATATATCACATTACATACAGGATATTACCTAGTTTATAAGTTCTGATATTAAACTCAATTTCCAATCCACGGCAAAAACGTTTGGCTTCAACTTGTTGTGGCCTTTGTTTGTTGGGAGTAGTGAGCTTGCGAACGTACCGCCTGTAACAAAAAAAAGAAAAATCTGATGAACTG